ATATGGGAATGGTAAATTTTTGTAAACTATTGTGTGGTCATAGTGTGACGTGGCTAAGTCCCAGGATTTTCTTGATAATGTGCTTTTTCAAGTTGAGAGCTCCTGTAGACTCGCGTAAATTTCGATCCTATGGCTGTGTCTGTGAGGGATTTTCAGCAGATTTCAAGCAAAAATTGATCGTCGGAGTCAACAGTTGGGCCCCACCTGTGTGTAACAAAGTCAACAATGACTGCTTAGTTTGCTTTCTAACGGTTCAAAAATGAATTTTTTTGGTTGAAAAAGCCCTCTCAGACACGCTCTATGTTAGCTCATTTATCAAAAACACTCGATTATATGTACTCTTTTTAACTATATATTTTGCAATTATTAATCCATAGCCAATAATAATAATATAACGTGTTACACTAAGTAAAAACCACATTAGTACTATTATAATTTATTTTTACTGCATGACTAACACATAGATTTTAATCTAATTCGACATTAATTTTATTTTATCACTTCTTTCATAAATTTTGTTATATTTAAGCAATTACTATTGATTATTTTTGTGAAATCTTCTAGTCAGAAGCTTAGGGTCTGTTCTCTTTGCCATTTTCAACCCGTTTTCTGTTTTCGATTTTTCAAAACAGTGAAAACGCGTTCTCTATCCTATTTTCGAAAACGCATTTCTGAAAACGGGTTGAAAATTTACAAAGAAAACACAAAACGACAATTTGTTTTCAGTTATAACTTGACAAAAATTTCCAAAATACGTTTTCTTTGTTTTCAACCACATCAAACCATCACCGCACCAGACAACCACTGCACCACCACGACCACCACTGCACCGCCGGAACCTACTACCGCAACCTAACCACCACCACCGAAATCGCCACCAGAAACCCCCAATGCCATAGCCAAAACAGAGACCCAACCATCGGAAATCTCGACCAGAAAGACCACCACCGTATAGCCAAAATGACGACCCAACTACCTCAAAATCACCATCGGAATCGCGACCCAACCAATGCCAGATTTGCGACTAGAAAGACCACCACCGCCCAGCCAAAATGGCGACCCAACCACAGCAAAATTGCCACCAAAATGGCAACCCAACCATGGCGACCCAACCATCTCAAAATCGCCACCAGAATCGCGACCCAACCATGGCCAAAAACGATTTGCCATTACCCCCACCTACCCAGCAAAAATGGCCACCCAACCACCGCAAAATCGCCACCAAAATCGCGACCCAATCATGGCCAAAATCGATTTGCCATTACCCCCACCGCCCCAGCCAAAAGTCGCGACCCAACTACCACAACCGCAACTTCACGACCCAACCACCGCATCCAACCATAACACTCAAACCAACAACCATCAGTGAAGAAGGAGGGGAAGAAGAAGAAGAAGAAGAAGAAGAAGAGGGCGATGGAGAGGAGGAGGTGGAAGAGGAGAAAAAGAAAGCGGCGCGAGAAAGAGAAAGAGAGAGGCTGAGGAAGGGAAGAGAAGAGAACACGTTTCCATTTCCTAATTTTTGAAAACAATTTTTCAAAATGGTAAAACGAACTCATTTTCAAAAATCTCAAAATTGACACTCAAAACACAAAATGAATTCAAAATACAAAATACAAAGAGAACAGCCCCTTATGCTTTCAAGGGAAAGCTTCTGTAATATTCATAATGGGGAAAGCTAAATGTTAGATTTCTCAATAAAAAATAACATACAAATCTTATATCACACTATTAAATGTCAACGTGTTACCAAAATGTGTTATTTATTTCACTAGTCCACAAAATTGTGGAGTTTAGGAATTGGGGATTAAATACGTCCAGAAGATAAATTGTAATGCAATTTTAATTTTGTTATAATTTTTGGGCATAAATTGTATAATAAATACATTTTTTTAGCAACGATCTCTGCTGATAGAATGATATTATTTAGCAACAGTGGTGCTAGATCATCAATTTATGTGGTAATATATGATAGGTCCAATTAAAAGTGAAATTATGTGATTCATTTAATAAAACCCGTAAGTTAATGTCCCTAGTATATTCATCGAGAACATGCCATTAATATACGTCAAATCGAAATATCATTCGACTTACCGAAATCTGATTTGAGAAGACAAATTAGTGAGTTACTAACTTCGAATATATGAATATGGATTCATTACTTTCCAATCTTGAACGTGTGTAATTCTTTAATTCAAACTTTGCAATAAAACACATAAATAAATTAACCATATTCTGAAAACAAAATAATATAGTTACTTTCCGAAATCAAAATACTAAGCCCCCGTTTGACACCCCTTTTTTTTTCCATTTTTGAACAGGATTTTGCAATACGCGTGGGCCCCATTATCCTTGATAATCTCATTTTCATCTGACACATCAGGTTATTTTGAAAAAGCTAGTGGTGTTATTTGATAAAATTCCAAGAATGCCCTTCAGTTGAGGGGGTGTTGTGCAGATTTGCAAATTAATTTCTGGGCAAAATCGGTAGTTAGTAATGCAACGGTCAAATGGAATAATTATGTCCTTGACACAAGAAATTGATTTCTCTTGTTTTTTCCCATGATGCACTGTAGCAAAATGAATTTTTGCCAAAAAAAGGGGTGTCAAACGGGGGCTAAGTTAGAATGAAATCGGAAAAATAAAGATGAGATACAAGTGATGCGATCGATTGAGGCAAGTGTTTAACACTGTCCTTAAGATGAATTTGCCCCGTATCGGTGCTAACGATTTCTATCAATCATCTCTCAAGATACAACGACCACATCAAGCCATAGGAGCACTCCAAATGGCTTAGACCAACGAACTCGAACGGAATTCTCTCTCTACCTAACCATGATTTTGATGCAAGTGTTTTATGTAAATTAAAGTGTAAGTATGTAATGGAATGATATGGAATTATCACTTTGAATTGTACTCAATCCAAACACATGAAGATTTACATATAGTAGTTGGAAATATTTTTCAAAAGACAAACCATACCAAGAGACACATCTCTTGAAATTAAGATTCATAATTATTTGAGAGTAATCATACCAAAAGTCATGATCTCCAAATGTTATGATTTTCCATATGAAAAGACACTTCTTTTCATCTACACATTTTCTAGAATACTCTACACGATTTTCCAACAATTTCAAGTGTTTAAGCGGCTTAAATTTGGATTAATTTCTCATTCACCACAGCTTAAATCATTTAAATTTGTCACAACTAATTTTCGATACAAAATTCCAACATAACTTTTAATGATATGGCTTAAGCAAATAAGAAAAAAAAAAAAAAGTTAAAAACTTAGTTGGGTTTGGTAGTTTGATTATTAAAGGTAAACGTGATTGATAATTTAAGCCACCAAGGGTTAATGAAAACATGAGGGGAAAGTTCATTAAAAGGCATAGGACAACTCATGTCATTTTTTATTGTGCTAAGGTTGCGGTAAAAATCGAAAAATGATTAAATTATATCTACTCTTATGTTTTGTTTTCAACTCTACCTTTTGTTAAGTATTGGACTTTTCAGATAAATGATCTAGAGGTTGTTTGGTGGAACTTAAAATCTAATTAAAATTAAAAATATAGCTGTTATTGGGTCTCAGTCATCTAATAAAAGTCAACAATAACGGCTAGTTTTTCAATTTTAATCCAATTTTAGGCCTTGTATGGGAGGGATTAAAATCGAATTAAAATTGAAAATATAGTCGTTATTGTTGACTTTTATTAGACGAGTGGGACCCAATAACGGCCATATTTTCAATTTTAATTGGCTTTTAATCCCTCCCGAACGGGACCTTAATCTCTACCGAACACACCCCTAATGAGTACCAGTGCTCAACTGATGCTAAGCAGTGGTGACATGTCAATCCTACCCACCAATGAATTATTATGACATGTTATCGGCGTTTAGTATAAAATGAGCACCGATACTCATTATATCATTCTTCAAGCTTTTCAATCTAAAAGTCAAGTTTTAACTAAGTCAAAATATCTTAATTTTTTCATTAGTAAATTAAACCAACTTCTCATCATCAACATCTTTTTATTATTTTATTAAGCCCTTGTTTGACAAAATTTATAAATTTGAATTCCATTTTCCCCATAATATTTGTTATCGTTCTCTCACATTTTATTTATCTCTATTTTCACTCAATCTGCACTCCACAAATTCCATACGAACAAAAATATTTCTAAGGAGAATAGAAATATTAAAAATTTAGAGACAATTTTGAACTATAAAAAAATTAATTAAAATTTACTTTTCCCTCTTTTTTCATACGATGAGCTTGTTTGATAGAGATTAAAATTGGATTAAAATTGAAAAACTAGTCGTTATTGTTGAATTTTATTAGACGGGTGTGACCCAATAACGGTTATATTTTCAATTTTAATTGGATTAAAATCAGTAGCAAACAAGCTCGATGTTGTCAAGTTCACTTGTTAACATGTAGCGTTGTAATTTAAAAAAAAATATTATTTTTCAAAAAAGTGATAATTATAATTATATTTCATAACAATAAAATACGTTTTTTTTTTTTTTACAAAGAAAAGGAAAAAGTAATTTGTAGTTGTGCTTAAAATTAACTAAAATTTGAAATATGAGCCACGATGCGCTGTACCATTGATGACGCAATACCCGCAAAAATCAAAAATATAAAGACAAAACAACGTAATAGTTCATGGTGCATATAAAAATCTCACATCCACATATACATACAGAATATCATATAAAAATTTATATTGGTTTCGTCAAAACCGAAGCTCATTTTGTACATTTCAACCCGCACCCTTTCAAATTCTTTCAAAGAGGCCTTCATTTTCTTTTTCGATCTTACAGGAATCAGGATTTTTGCCCAGAGGCCTGTCTAATTTTGAAGTTCTTTCTATTTGGTTCTCGTCTTGATTTAAATTTAGGGTTTACAGATCTAAATTCAAAACTCCCTCTTTGTTGAGGTAGTCTGTCTTTCTCTTTCTGCTTATATATAGATATAATCTATATCTATTCACGCAGACATGTTTTGGAAACTCCCAGCCTTCTCTGCTTCTTCTACGGTAAGTAAGAAATTTGATTTTTATTCTTTTCAGGAGTATTATTTTTGTTCTACTGCTCGATTTCTGGTTTAATGAAGTTTTTCTTGACTTGATTTAAAATTTTTCTTTTTTGTGGAAATGAATTGAGCTTATGTATAGTCATTCTAATTCGTGAAATTGGCGATTCTGTTTTGATTGATTGGTTAAGATTTGCAATCTATGAATGTGCTGACTTTACTGTATCCTCCTCATATAATTATGAATTTTTGTTTTTAATTACAATTTGAACTAATTTTTGCAGCCATTCTGTTAAATTCAGTTACTAATAGTTACTCTGTTCAGTTTGATTCTAAGATATCAATGATTTATATTCCAACTATTTGTTATCTTAGAAAATGTAATAAAATGAAGTGGCCAAAAAATTGTATCTTTAGCTTTTGTGTTGTTTTGAATCTCTAGAGACAGATATTTTTCTTTACTTCTTTTCTAGTTCCTTTTTTTTTGCTGCCTGTCACTCCACCTTCTCTGTTTACTTATAAATAATAATTTTATCATTGTGGGGAGTATTTTTGAACGATCTTTGTTATTGTATGTGCAAACCTTAATCTCAATGCTGCATTTGAGGTGAACTCCTTTTTTTTTTGGTTTCATCTTTGTTTTGTTCCCCATGTACTTCTGGGTTTGGATTCATCTATAGCATTTTCAGTTTGCTTGATTAAATTTGTTTATTATATGTGCCTAGGGTTTTAGAATGACTAAGCCAGTTGAACTCCACTTGAGCTCGGCTCATCCATGGCCTGTTCAAGCTTGTCTAATTAGATAAAGGAGTTAAGCTCATAGAGGATTGATAACTGAAGTAACATGCAAATAACAAAGTTGATCAAACTGAACTCATTTTTAACTGTAAAATAACTTGTTTGAGATTTGCTTAGAGATAAACAAGTCAATCTTATGTTGTACTAAAGACTCAGTGACTAGGGCGACACGAACTTGGATCAATTCATTTGTGCTTCTATACATGTTGGACTAGATGTTTTGTTTATTTATGTTTGCATTTTGTTGATTATTATCTCCCTTATGGTGGGTTTTTTCACTATTGATTCTGGTTTATGTTTTCCTCCTTCGTACCTTTTCCTGTTGGTAATATTTTAATATTTTCTTTGTTATCTTTAGGTCGAGTCGGTGTTGGATAAGGAAAATTTTACATTGGAAGAGCTTCTGGATGAAGAAGAGATAATCCAAGAATGCAAATCATTAAATAGTCGCCTCATAAATTTGTACGGCGCCTTTTCTTTTCAACTGCATATTTTTGTTTATTAGTCTTGTCATCTATGTCATGGGTGTCTTTTTAATGGGTCATGGTTCCTTGGCAATCACAACCTTACCATGACCTGCTGGTTTCACTTTTAGTTTTGAAGTTCCTTGAAGACAATGTGAAATTTTATTGGTGTTTAGTTTGAGAGAGAGAGCTCAGGTTGAACAGTTGTTGCACTACATCGTTGAGGAGTCTCCAGATGATGCGGATAGCAAACGAATGTTCAAGTGAGTTGAGATAACTTTTAAGAAAAAGCATTTCAATGATCATTTTTAAGTTTTATGCATTACTTTATAACTATATTTTCCATAAATTCTCTGTTTTCCTGCTTTTTGAATTGTAATTTAAAAGGGTCAGTATATAGTGGTTGTTTGAGATAGTCCATTCTTATTCTAATATTTATTTCATAATGTAGGTTTCCTTTCATTGCTTGTGAAGTTTTTATATGTGAGATTGATGTCATCTTGAAGACTTTGGTGGAGGAAGAGGAGGTGAGATCGTGTATCAACCAATTGAAAAAACGTGGTTACTGACCAAATTGGTGTTCTAGTACCTGATATTTCAGACGTATTCTCTGTTTCTCTGCAGCTTATGGATTTACTGTTCTCTTTTCTGCAACCTAATCGTGCCCATAGTGCACTTTTGGCTGGATATTTTAGTAAGGTATTCTTTGTTGTATAAGTCTTTTTTTTTTTGTAGAATCAAGAATGTTTCTTGTTCAGTGCTTGGTATGGTCTTATGATAAGAGTAATTGTTTGATCTAATTTCTCTTTTTATTGCAGGTTGTAATATGCCTAATGTTGAGGAAGACTATTCCACTTATGAATTATGTAAAGGTAATTTGAGTTTAATCTCTCTCTCTCTCTCTCTCTACGTGTGTATATATTTTGTGGGGTGGGCTGGCGAAGATTAAAGGTCTGCCTTAAGTCTGTATTTTAATTGCTGAAACCTTGTTTGTGTGTAAAGGTAATTTGAGTTTAATCTCTCTCTCTCTACGTGTGTATATATTTTGTGGGGTGGGCTGGCGAAGATTAAAGGTCTGCCTTAAGTCTGTATTTTAATTGCTGAAACCTTGTTTTGTATGGTTTGACATAATGTATCACTCTGCAATTTGCTTATTACATGAATAAAACTGAATGATTAATAATTTTACTTTTAGCATGAGATCTCAATAAACTTGGGAGTTCTCAGTCGAGTTTTAAAACTTCCAGATTTAAAGATGACATGAAAAATCTCCTGCTGTCAGGAGTTTATACTTGATTTGCTCCATATTTTTCTGCCTATCTCATCTACTCTTAAGCATACACCTAATAATTTCCTATTGCTGCCACTACCATATAGCATTCATCTCTGCCTGTTGATAAATAAAGCATCTGTACTCTTGTTGGTTGTTGAAAATTTTGAACACGTGTGATAATTTGTCATTTTCAGTGAACGATAATCAGGAGTCATAACCACTCATTTCATTGTATAATAGAAATGAGGAAATGGCTTATTCCCCTTATTTATTGACTTCTATCACTTAGGGACGTGTGCTTGGCTTACCTTATGACAGATATAGCATTACGCCTTAAGGTTATATTACTCTATTTGTGGTCAAGAACTTTCATATTCGTAATAGGTAGGTATACTACACTTAGAATCTGCTAAGATTCTTTTCCTTTTGAGTTTAAATTTGTTGAACAAATTTTATATCAGGTCCAAGATCTTAAATTAGTAGTCAACACTAAATGCTTTCTTTTCCAATAATGCTTTTTTTATTTCTAAATGTGGAGGTAAACTTTGAATGACTCGTGTCACATCTCTCTATGAAAAAAGTCCAAGGGCTAGCAAAGAGTAAGTAGAAATTCAAGTCTATATATGAAAAACTTATGGTGCATTTGGTTTGTTGTTTTCAAGCTATTTTCAATTTTGCAAAGCACCGAAAATGTGTTTGGTATGGTATTTCGGAAAATGTATTTCCGAAAACAAGCATAAAATTATAAAATAAAACTCAAAACGCATTTTTGATGTTTTAATTGTTTTCAATGAAATTTTTGAAAACACTTAAAATGAAAAACAAGTGTTTAAATAAAATTTTAAAAGTTTTAAAAAATAATAAATAAAAAATATGAAAAAAATAAAATATATAATTCTAAAAAAAAATCCTAAAAAATATAAAACATAAATTTGAAAAAATAAAAATATAAAAAATTCTAGAGAAATTAAAATTATATATAAAAAAAATTAGTTCAAACTCTCAATGATTATTTACATAAAATTCCTTAAAAATATTTAAATGAACACAAATAAAAATATTTTTAGTTCACATCATTAATTTTTATTTTTATTTCCTACATTTTAACGTTAATTTATTATTTATGTTACTTTTGTAGTGAGAAAAAATATTGTAGGATTTACCAACTTTAAAATGTATATATTAATTGATAATATATTAACATAAAATTGTTTTATTTTTACTGATTTGATCAAATATGATGAAATAAAATGTTATAATATAAATTTTCAAAATTTCAAACTAAACGTGCTTTCTAATTTTCTGTTTTGAGAAATAATTTTTCAAAATGACAAACCAAACGTATTTTTAATAATCTTAAAATTGACCCTCAAAATAGAAAAATGAAAATGAATTCAAAAATCAAAACTGAAAACTGAAACAAAAACCAAACTGGCCCTCAGGTTTTCTATAGGTAGAGGGAATGAGTAGTGAAGCGAGGTGATGTTTAGGAAACAAAATTTATTACTATTGCTGTAATTATTTTTTGGTTGAGGAGGGTTTGATGTCTCTTATTATTGTAGTCCTTGGGATTTGCTTGCCATATTCATTTAGCTGCCCTGTACTCTTATCCTCGATTAAACTACTAAATGATTGAATTTTGTGCATTTTAAATTGAATCTTTTGACAAATGTAAAGCTAGGAAGGCTTGAGATACAACAACATATTAAGCCTATTCTCAATATAATTTTCCGTCGGTTAAGGTGTGTGGTAATGGGAACTAATTTAAAACCTTCCCTTTGCATATGCTCAATGTACGAGGAGAATCAAGATGTGAACTTTGCTATTTGAAGCTTTCTTTTGTTGCTTTGTTTAAAATGACAATATTTTCTTAACTAGATAACTTACATTCTAGCTGATGTTGGTTCTGTCCAGGCCCATCAAGATGTTTTCAAGCAGCTAGTTGATCTGATTGGCATTACATCCATCATGGAGGTTGATGTCTTATATAAATTGCAAACTTTGTCATGCAGTTAATAATATTTTACTGCTCTCAGTGGGTTTTCTCTTCTCATTAACTCTTTATTATTAGGTGTTGGTGCGACTTGTTGGTGTCAATGATCATCTATACTCCAATTCGATGGATGTGATACAATGGTTGGCTGATAGCAGCTTACTGGAAATGATTGTGGACAAATTGGATACATCAGTAAGTCTCAAAAAATCTCATGGCTATACAAGTAACCCTTTCTTTGGTGTAAGAATTGAACCAAGCCTAGACTGCCAGTGTATTTAATTACTATTGTCAATAGTTACCTGTCTAGTTTTTGTTGCTAGTTATATCAAGGTGGTCATATTTGTTCTTTGAGGCTGGTGGTGTAATATATTGCTCTTTAGTAACTATGGCTGTGCTTAGCTTTGATTTTGCATGTTCTCTATGGTTTTTCTAACAAATTTATCAATTATCTCCATTCTCACACTTCTCTAGTCACCTTCACTTTATTATATTTGCCTGTGCAGCTTTGGGTCCTTTATGTAAATATATCATTGTCCTTTTTGCCACTTTCCCCTGCATTCTATTTTCCACTAAATGTGGTGTCTTGAGTTTATTTATTATTTTATCCACGTGTCCTTTTGTATTACTACAGTGGCATGAAACAAATTGTCAGCTTTGGCTTCAGTGCACAATGAAAATCATGCACTGCTTACAGAACCTTAATCTGCAGATCTCACATGGCTTTCTAGAGTGCTTATTATTATTTTTGATATATTATTATGCCAATAGGAAGATGTAGAACTTCATTCATAAGCCATGGTTATACCATGATGCGTACCTCCTTGGAAGAAGGAATTCTTAAACAGAAATTTATTTGATGGATTGTTGCATCTGTCAATGTTGCCTCGTATATGGTTATCCGTCTTCCTCCCCTGTATCTGGTTCAGCCATATTTGATATCTGTTCATTTGGAAGGGAAAGCATGGTGTTTGGCACATGGAGGCTTGCATAATTGCAATTTTATCAGCATGGCGTATTAGTTACACTTGTTGTATTGGATTGTTTGGCTAATGACATGTAAATCATCTGAAGATATAACTGATATACCTTTCGTGTTCTCCAGAATCCTCCTGAAGTACATGCCAATGCTGCAGAAACGTTATGCGCAATAACCCGAAATGCTCCATCACCTCTGGCCACTAAACTATCCAGCCCTAGGTTTTATGAATAAACTTGAATACTCTTTCCCTCCTTCTAGATCAGTTTTTGCCCTGTTATTTGAATAAATGATATGAATATTTGTGACTTTCTCTATGCGCAGTTTTGTTGCAAGGATATTTGATCATGCACTTGAAGACTCACATTCAAAATCTGCCCTTGTCAACTCGCTGTCTGTGTGTATTTCTTTGTTGGATCCAAGAAGATCAATTTCTTCACCTGTAATGTATTCTTTCAAAAATCAGCATGTGTATGAATTAGCTAATCCTGATACTGTCGGTGCAATGCTTCCCAAACTTGGTGAGTCCATTACCGCTTATATTAGTAATTACTCTTGTGCTACTTTATATGCGTATTTACATATTCATTTTATGATCAGTAAAACAAGCCAAAAGAAAATAGTACTTTATGTATTGTTACATGTATTAGGGGCCACTTGTCAGATCTCTTGTTCGTGGAATCTTGACTCTCATGGTTTATACGACTGTTGCTATATTGATTTTTGGTTTATTTCCAAAGTTAAGCTTATTTTTTCGTAGAATTATCCAGAAGAAAATATGTATTTAAATGAAACTTTGCAGAGAATGATTATGACAAGGCACGTAGCTATGCGATCTTTAAGAAATATTTCATGCAAAATTTTGTTTGTTAACATTCTTTATGTAGGCTGCATTTCACAGTTTCAAATATCTGTAGCAACAAACCAAGACTTGTACCAAATAAATTTGGGATCAAAGGTAATAAGAGCAGGATTCTAAACAAAGCAGTTAGAGCCTTTTTTTGATGGTTGTATAGCTGACAGAATGACTTATTCTATAGCTATAAATATACCAAGATATAGTTAGAAGTAAATAACCTTTGCTTCAAGATTATGTAATAGGACTCTATTTAAAACCTAGACATACTCTATTTAAAAAATTCAGTTTTTACTGAAATATTCCTCAACTATCAATTCAGACTTAGTATTTTCCAAGGGACAAGCTTGGTTTAGTGAAATAACCCTGCAGACGTGGTAGATTGCCCTAGATATAACATCCTTATCGTACTCCCTGGAATGCAATAAAGAATTCAGTTTTTTACTGAATCTTTCTCAACTGTCAATTCAGACTGGTATTTTCCAAGGGACAAGCTAGTTTTAGTGAAATAAACCTTGCAGAATGGTAGATGATCCATTAACTTCCCTAGGCAGGCAATGACATGTGTCAAGCGGAAAAGGTAGAGACATACTGGCGATAAGGAAAATTTCTTTATGCTTATACTTTCTATGTTCTTTTTCACTGTGTATGGATTCCGCTTGGGGGTTGGGGTGTGCCTTATCCTTTATTGGCACGATCTGGAAATTGATATATGTATGTGGGCTAGATAGGGAAAATTTTCAAATATCATCCGATGCCCTTATTTTTAATATTTTCCGAAATTACTTCATAACATGTGGCTTGGCATGAGTGCCCTGTTGTTTTCCAACAGGATAAGCATTGACATATTTGTGGTGCAGGGGACTTGCTGACTCTGTTAAGAGTGTCATCTGATGAGAAGATTCTACCTACAACTTATGGTGAATTACGGCCTCCTCTTGGGAAACACCGTTTAAAGGTTGGTATGTTAATTTTGGTTATTTTTTTCATGCAATCCTCAAAATGATGTCAAATTTAAATCCTTGGTTGGACGCAGGATCACATATTTGGCGTTTTAACATTTTATGCAATTGTCGTCCTATTTATAGATTGTGGAATTCATTGTGGAGCTGCTGAAAACTGGCAATGAGGTGGCAGAGAAAGAATTGGTCAGTTCAGGGACAATTAAGAGGGTCCTTGATCTCTTCTTTGAGTAAGAAGTTACTTCTATTATTAATTTTTGGTGTTTTAATAACACTAATTGGCTGATTACTAGAAAAGAAAGCTTTAATCTTTTGTCCCGTAGAAGTTGCAGTTGGAAGCACTCATGTTAGAAATACTTTTGCTGATGCAGGTATCCATACAATAATGCCTTGCATCATCACGTGGAGAGTATAATATATTCATGCTTGGAAAGCAAAAATAATGCCATTGTTGATCATCTTTTTCAAGAGTGTAACTTGGTTGAAAAAGTTCTTCAGACGGATAAAAATCCTACTCTATCTGGTGAACTCAATCAGGTAGTTTTTTGTTAAATAATGGCACATTCTGGTTGATTTTCCAATCATATACATGACATATTAGCTCATTTATCATTGTGGAGAAATTTAGGACTGGCATGTGTGAGGATTGGAAAGTTGAGACTACAAATACCCCACACAGAGAAGTAAACAACTTAATTGGAAATAAATAAATAATGAAAATCCAAAATTAAACTGTCTACAAAAAAAGAGCAACTTGCAAAAACCTCCCTGGAGGTTTATGCCAATTATAGAGACACTCTCTCCCTTTTCAAAAATTTCAAAAAATCTCTCTATTAACACAAAGTTTTCATTTTATTCTTTTATTTCATGTTTTGCTTATATTTGCTTTCTTGTTTGTTCTTTTTTCCTTATTTTAATTTAGATAAAATTTTCAGTTGATTTTGATAAAAGTTGACGGAATATGTGGTTAAAAAGTGGTAGATCTCGTGAAATGTGTGGTTAAAATTAATTGTTGATTGACTTACATTTTAATTCACATTTGTAGCTGAACCAAACAGGAGCGTAATCTTAATAATATTTTTGTGAATATTAATTTCTTATTTAGTCCACGTTTGGTGCACATTTTGAAAGTAATAATGCATTTTTACTGTTGATGTAATGGAGAATATGTGGTTGAAAAAGAAGGAAAAAATTATTGATGTGATGAAAAAATTATTTTATTGAAGAATGTGTGGTTGAAAATGAGTAGAAAAATGAGAATGAAAAAAATAATGTGGACCAAATAGGACTTTAATAGACAAACTAAAATTGATGTAATTAACAAAAAGTTGAATTAAAATAAAAATAAAAATGTAAGAATGAACCTTTGATGCCAGCTTTTTTGCATTTTTAATATTAAGATTAAGATAAGATGACTTTAATTTCTAAACTTATTATAGTATAATGTAAAGAGTACGAAAAATACAAAAAATTAGAGAAAATACTACTAAATCAAGCAATATAAACATTTGATGAATTTTCAACTAGCTTTGTTTTAAAACGTTTGTTTATGTTGATTTTTTAATATATTTGTCAATCGTATTTGAAAAAAAATCATATTTAATAATTTCATTAATTTTATAACAATATTTATAAAGGTATTAAAATTTTCTACTAACTTTATTAAACTATTTAAAAACATTTATATATGTTGATTTGAATTATTTGTCAATCGACAATCGTATTTGAAAAAAAAATCAATTCTTATATAATAATTTTATAAATTTTAAAATAAGATTTGTATTGATTTTTTTTTAACTAAAGTGATTTAATTAAATGAAAAGTATAAGAATAAGAAAAGGAAAATATATAGTTTAAATATAATTATGTAGTGATTTTAAAATAGAATAGCGGGTAAAATGGAAAATATATATTTACTTTTAGCTAACACGGGGAATCTGTTAAAAAAAGTAAACCTCAAGGGAGGGGGTCTCTGTAATTATCATGAAACGAGGTTTATTTAATTTACTCAAAAGAAAAAAATAATAATCCACAAAATGACATGAAGAGACCTTGTTGGTATCCTGGCGTTCTGTTTGCGGTGAAAATTGGTCTGTCCTGTTTACTTTTCAAATCTTCCTTCTATTTTCTCATCATTTTTCTTTTACAACTACGCGTGACTTGAAGTGAAAATCTGATGGTGTGTTTCAATACTTGCAGCCGACTTTACCTGTTACAGGAAGACAGGCACCCCGAGCAGGGTACTTTGGACACATGACTCGAATATCAAATAAACTTGTTCAGTTGGGAAACAATGATAAACGCTTTCAGCTATATCTTCAGGTCTGTGATATGCTGACACCTGGTTAAATGTATGCCTCATTCCTTCATATTTTACTTCTGCATTTTCAACTTGAAACAGAGCCAGTACTTGTTCACATGTGTCGTCAAAAGTTCAGAAAGAGGTAGAACGGATTGCATTTTTTCAGTTCTTGTAATTGTCTGGATAATATTTTCAGTATTGTTGTCTTTCTATCAGCTTGTTGCCATTATTCTGCTCTATGCTCGATATGCATATCATCATCTGATCAGACTCTGCACTGGGCATGATCTGTTTTCAAGACTTCTCGCCAAGCTGCAGACTATAACTGGGCATGATCTGTTTTTTGTGAAACTTGAATCTTTAAAATGGATTAAATGCTGTCTAAAGCAAAAGACTCATATTGACAGTGTCAAAATAAGTTATATGACTTCGATTTATTTTTTCTATGCTCATGCATTGTTGTTTTGTTTGCTTTAGGAAAATAATGAATGGAGTGAGTGGCACACTACCGTCTTACAGGAGCGTAACATGGTTGAAAATGTTCACGGATGGGCTTGTGGGTATGTCATTTTATATCTTATGCAATCACTTCATACAAAACGAAACCAATACAATTTTTTATTACTCATTTACCATCAAACAATGTTGCATTAATCAACTAGACGAGTAAATTCCAAGATGTTTTCCAAATATTTTTAACATATTTAAATTATTAATCAGGAGTTGTATGGCACAGAGTTCAATATTAATGAGTGAATTTCTTCTATCTGTTTATTCATCTTTTTATATATATGTTTTGGAAGTATATAAATTTTCTTGTTCTGTTTTCATTTTACTTTGCCAGTGGGGTCACTGATTCATCTCTGTTTTATTAAGAGGTCTTTCCAAATTAGATGGTTCTGCCAGCTTTAATTCCTTAAGAGTAAACGTCTCTTGTATTGTTGTGTGCAGTCGGCCAACTGCATTGCAAGAGAGGACCAGGGATAGTGATGAGGATGATGTCCATGATAGGGATTATGATGTTGCGGCTCTAGCAAATAATTTAAGCCAAGCATTCAGATACAATGCATATGATAATGATGGTACTGAGGTAGGCTCAAATAGAAATACCAAAAGAGGAACTGCATTGCAAGACAGGACCAGGGATAGTGATGAGGATGATGTCCATGATAGGGATTATGATGTTGCTGCTCTAGCAAATAATTTAAGCCAAGCATTCAGATACAATGCATATGATAATGATGGTACTGAGGTAGGCTCAAATAGAAATACCAAAAGAAGAAAAACTATTGCAATAATCACCCCAAGAAATAAATTGGCAGTTTCTTTCGGATTTGTCTATGATTTTAATTGCTCTATTGCAGGGTCATGTATCTCGAGAGCGAGTTGAGGAGGTAATATATCTTTAATAAGCTCTTTTACCTTGAGGCAGATATGAAATAAAAAAGCGGATATATAATGCAGAAAGACTTTTAAATGTAGTCTCACACTGGCTGATATGGGAGTAATGCTTATCATAGTTATCAGACCTGGCTCGGGTATCGACCCAGTCAAGTCACCGGGTTTCTTGTTAAATCGTCGGGTCACTGGTTGAACCGGTGGGTCAATACTTGTAAAATCATGTAAAATTTTAAAATATAGAAATTTCTTTTTAAGACAGTTGAAGTTTTAAAACTGTTTATCATCAATTTACATTATTATTATAAACTAAATTTTAACCATAATGCTTATATTTCTCTTATTATTTTGTAATAAGAAATTAAATATTTTAGCTGAAGTTTTTATATCCGTACATGTGAACAAATTCAAAAAGTTGTTTTCTCATAACTAAAAATCTGGTAAAATATCTTCAAAATTTTGCACTAGATTAATTTTGTACTTATATAAAGTGAATGTAATATTTTAAAGTGTACCTCAATAAGGATTAGATTTTATTTAATTTAAAAAATAGAAAAGTTAGAGATGGTTTATATGTGTGTATACAATGTAAATACACGTATAACATCATCTGCAATGGCGCAGTGGTCAGTGCCACCAATCTCCATCATGGCAGTCAACCGGCTCAAGTGATTTGATCCAAAGCTGCTGGTTTGACAGGATTCTTACCAGTTCTTGACCGGTTCAACTGCAATCCTGTCAATTGTGCAGGACTGGACTGCTTGGCCTGCTGGGTTACCGGTTTTACGGTTGGATTGCCCGGTCCGGTTTAATTAACTATGAATTACCGGTATATAAAGTGAAGATGCCATATCAAGTCATAAATCAGTCATTCTTGCTTGTACTAGCCAATATTGGGTGGTGCAGGTGTTTTGGATTGTTCCACGTATTTATATATTTTTATTTATCGATTATGCATGTTAACATATTCATGTTTTGTTGGTCTCAGTTTTGATTTTTATGGTCTTATCCAGCATTACTTTTTTGTATTTTTGTCATTGTATTATGTTATAGTACTCCTCCCACATGTATGTCAACCATAACACTACTGTAAATATACTATATTTTTTGTAGTTATGGAATGCCAGAGATACAGGCATTGCTGGTACTTACAATAATATTGTGTGGAATGGAAACATAGGGGAAGCAAATGTTTGCAACCTCTTCCCATTTGTGAATTCCATAGAGCTGAATTTTAGACACTGATTGAAAATGCAGGATATTTACTTTGATGATGAATCTGCAGAAGTAGTGATTTCATCCCTAAGGTTGGGCGACGACCAGGGAAGGTGAGTTTCATTGCTATTTATTGAGAAATTTAAAGTTGCACAAATACAGGCAGACTTATGCTCAAACGGGATATACATTTTATCGTTCTGATTATATGCTGTAAAAAGATTTGCACTGCAATTGTAGATTTATGTTCTTTAGGTTCACAGGATAAGCGGTGTTTGTTTTTGCTGCAAGTAGCTGTAACAAGCCTCACAAATAGATTGTCATAAGAATTGTATAGAAGGGGAAAGGAAAGTACGAAAGACTTTGAAAGACAGGAAGTGGGAGTTTTTGCAAGAATGAATCCGCTTACTATCTGCCTCTATTATGCAATATTATTGTGTTGGCTTCCATGATGTGCAAAAAGTTAGAAGCTGGCTATCAAGCAAGCCTATTTGTCATTGTTTGAAATTGTCTAATTCTTTCTTGCAGAAGTTTGTTTACAAACTCCAACTGGTTTACTTTCCAAGATGACAAAATTGGTGATGCACCTCGGAGAACTTCGCTTCGTGATATTATGGACGATATCAATTTGGATGGAACACCCAATGGTGGTAACAGCAGTAGTGACGATGAGGTAATGGTTGGCGAGGATGAGGAATTGATTGATAGCAGCACTTATGCCAATGGCTTGTCTGGCTCTAAGACAAACCCCTTCGATAACTTCTATGGAAACAACCCTGTCAACGGGGGAGACTTGGTTCCCAAGAATAATAAGGCCGGTGCCTCTGGAGACGGTTTCTTCCATTTTGAGACTTCAGACAACGAGGATCTGTTTGGAGACAGGCCCATACCTGAATGGATTGCATGGGGAGAGACATCAGATTTTCACGTTGGTGGATCAACTGCGAACCCATTTGTTGACCCAAACGACACAAGTGACAATCCTGCTAGTTTAGTGGAGACGAGCACTGCCCAAATTAGTTCCACTTCAGGTGGAGGCTCTCTACCAAATGGCACCTCCAGTTCTACAGATTCTATTGATGATTCAACTAAATGTGATTCAAGTCAAAAAAGCATTGCTCTCCCCTCCCTGTTCGAAGAGGACGTTGAATTTGTGGGCGTCGAACCAGAGGGGACGGAGAAGGCAATGGAGCAAGCTCTCAAGGAGGGTATTGTTGGGGAAGCCGGGCCATTGAAGATGAATCTCTCTCCAGAGACCCCAGAAAAGGAGGATGGACAAGATGATGGAGCAGGGATGAAGGAATTCAACGATGCAAACTATTGGAGAGTAGATCATGAAGTTGCAGTGTTGGAGTACGGTGTCAGGAATTTTTAACCTTTGAACTTGGAGCCAAAATCTGAGGATATCACATTCCCGTTCTTAGTTGTCAGGGGTCACGCGGTGGGCATATGTACAGTGTATTATTGTTCAATTGGGATCATGCTGTAGGGTTCATTATGATTATTTAATACTACACTCGTTTTAGGGTCGTGACACTCTTCTAAGTTTTTGTGCTCTTTCTTTTTTCTTCAAAATTTTAGTGCTAAAGCATGATTCATCAGTGTAATGTGAAATTTAAATTTTTATAGGAATTTCAGACACGTACCCTCTCCTGGAGGGGATTATGATCTGTTTGAAAGCTTCATACTCGAATTTTACTCATTTATGGACTATGGTGGGTTGTTATTAGACAATTGCTATCATCAGCCATGATCTTTGGCGAGGCATTTTTGATTTGGTAATGTACTAAATATAATCATTGGTCTAGGTGGCAATGGGTCGCTTAATTCACTCAAAAAAGTTGTGAAGTATTTTAATGCATTGAACAATGAATTAGGGGATTCGCTGTCATCTAAATTGGTGATGATGTTTACGGACGATGAAGCATTATTCTTTTTGATTAAATTGCCTTGTGTCTTCTCATGCAAATGTAATTGTTGGATTAGCAAATTAGGCTCTACTAGATTTTGTTTGTCTGACAATTGTTGGAAAAAATATTGTTTTTACTAAAAAAACTATATAGAATAGGGATGGGAGAAAAAAAAAGGATAGAAGATCCGCACCCCTTTCAAAAAATGATTGTCCAAAATGTTTAACCGAAGTGTAAAATTATACTTTCTGCTCTGTTCGAAAATAGATTGGTCAATTTTGGCAATTTCTACTAGGGATTGCAACGATGGGCAATTTTGGTAGCAGGGATAAGGATTAAAAAATTCTCGTTCCCTGTCTCATTTAATTGAGGATCATGCTACATGTACAAAAAAAATTTATCGAATCTTTTACCTACTACTCACAATGGGGATGTGGATCACATTGTCTGAATTTTTAAATATACGCGGGTCCCGTGCATTATGTGAGAGGATAATCCATTATGTACAAACCATCATGTACAAATAAATTAACCCTTTAATTATTCATTTATTTTTAAGTACTATTTAAATTGAAATAAAAAATTGGGACAAATTCTGCGTATTCAAGTAGAGAAATTTTGCCATCCCTACTCATTCAGTTTTGATTGATTTAATGCCCACTGCCAAACCTGCAACTGCCATTAACCTTTTGAATTCAGAAAGTGAACTTTTATGTGGGGACGGACTTAAAAAGCGTAAATAAATTGCTCCCAAAGAGAGAAACTTTTGACTCGGGTCGGGTCGACTGTGCCTAAAATCCGATCAAGACAGTCATTCAAATAAACTGACAACTAAATCCTGACCGTACGCTTGAGATGAATAATAAACAATTTACTCTGACGGTCTTTTTTAATTTGAAAACGACACAAGATTAAATGGGCCCACATTACGCACTGCCATGTCACCGGATTTATGTAGTTTTTTTTTTTTTTTGCTTTTTACTGGTTGTTTTGACTTTATTACCACGAGCCAACCAATAATATTTTATATTTATTCTTTTTTTATTTTAAAGCAAGAATGATACAAATAATAATAATAATAATAAATAAATAGATAAAATTAAAACAGATTATTTTCGTCGTCAAAGATATAAGAGGACGTGCACTTCTTTTTTAATTTGAAAATAATACTTATTATTGATTATTCCTTTCATAAATTTAGGATTGGACTCTTCAACATTTTACGAGATATAGTAATAAATCAAAAATGGAAGATTCGAGTTCAACACTTGCTTTATCGATATTTTGTCTTTACTCGAAAATGGAAGATTTTCGTATAAAATATTTTTTCATCAGCGTTGTGAAAGGTTGGAGAGCTCGTTTTTAAATTTTAATTAGCGCACTTGAATTTTTGTATTCTCTTTCTTTCTGCATATTTAATAGTTTGAGAACAAAGCACGAAGTGAAACTGTTAAATTAAAAGCAAAAAATAAAAAAAAGCAGCTATTCCAATCCCTAATTTCAGGGATATTGTAATCTCAAATTGTTTTTCAATCTCGGATCTTACAATTTGGTCAAACCTCATTTATTAATTTCAGCGTTTCTTAAATTTGTTCTAATTTAATAAATTCGATGAAATTATATGTTTCGAGTGTATCGAATATTTTAATATATTTCTCAATTAATTTTAAAAAATACACATTATAAAGTTAGCGTAGTTACTTATTATATTATTATTATTTTTTGTTGACGTAGTAACCCGCAGCCGCTAACCGCTAGTAGAGCAACCATCCCAAATGAGCGGAGACCCGATCACTGTAAATGCGTACTAGGTAAACTTGCTCCATGTGTAGTAGTACACAAATTACACAGGAAATGTAAACAATACTAGACAAGCCCAGTACAACGGACTCGACAGAGGAAGTGTTGACAGTGGATTCGAACTCGTGACATTTGGCCTCCACGTTCACCTGCTCCACTAACTCGGCCACTTCCGAAGGGGTTAGCTTAGTTACTTATTTTATTATGTTTCGAGTATAACAATGAATTTTGTGTTAAAGTTTGTCCATTAATTAATTAAACTATCTTCAAAGCAAGCTTTTTGCAGCAAATTCGACATTGGTGTCTCTACCTTAATAAGTAGATTTGGAACTGAAGACAGAGAAAATATTGGAATAAATGAGAATTGAATTTGATGGTTTTGCCTCCTGCCCCTTGCCTTGTTTTTCGATATATTTCAGTCCCCAACAAATATTTGTTTGACCTTTTAGACCTTAGGATTGTAAATGAACATTATAGAAATTAAGATTACTTGTGGGATTTGTGAAATGATTACATAAATTGATATGCTTGTCTCCCATTATAAGATTTCGATTAGATTCAAAATTCACAAATGATGTCATGCTTGGATTAAGTTGTTGCATGTCAAATGATTATAGACAAAGCATTAGTGCTTGTTTCGGTGATTTAGAAAGTTGATATTGATAAAAATAAGTGACGATTTCATAAAATGAGCGGTAAAAAATGAAATTGTGGGTCTTACATAATTTGTGTTTAAAATCAATTATTGACTCTGACCTCAACTGTTGAACGTCTTTCTAAGCTTTCTCAAATAAGCACTAAATGATTTTCCGGATTATTTGGATTTTTTACGTGGAGTGAATCGCTTTGGTAGCATAGTTGAGGGCTCTTAGATTATGTACAACAACTATACTTTTGCACTTGTAACATCTGAATGCGACTCTTTCAAAATGAATCGGAGATGCTCTAGTACCTACTAATTTCATAACTATTAAGCTTTGATCTTACCTCACTATGATTATTTCGAGCTCAAATTTTGTATTTTACTCACCTTCCCAAGTTTATCATATTATTTTCCCGTGCTTGTTTGGATTTTATTATAAGTTGTTAAAATTATTATGTGATAGGAACGTTTGATGAATAAGTGAATAATAGTCGTGCATAGTACGAATTGTATAATTAAAATCAAAGTTTTACTTCCATCTTTAAATTACAAGCAACTTAGAATGAAAAATTAAAAATCTTATCAAATAATATAATTTTTTTTTGGTCTGTATCGTGCTTTCATCAGCGCTCTTACATAGGCTCAATTTCTTTGTCCCAATTATATAGTCTTGTTTCTTTATTAAAAATATTTTATTTTGTTCGTTTACTATTATACCCTTATCTCTTTATTACTTCAAACGATAATTTACTACTAGTTATTGATACTTAAATGAGGGTAAACTAAGAAAGGTTTTGGCAAAAGTTGATTTTCTAATAACATTAAATAAGATTTCTTAATCCGCGTGAAAAAAAACAAGCATATATAAATGGGATGGAGAGAGCATTTAATACCACATTAATGACACCTAAATTGCTGTTTAGCTTCACTCTTTCAAAAGGTGATTCAAATCATGGACCAACCAAATTGGCCATTAGTGTGTTAATCAAGAATTATTTAGTCAAAGAGGCAATTAATGACAATAGGCTCTCGAGCACCAAGGCGGCAAGTGAAGTGGGATCACACGTGATGATCATTCACCGTAATTTTCATATCAAACTTTGATGAAAACGAAACCTCAATTTCATTGTCATGACAATTCAATAATGGGGTTTGTGTCACTTTTTATTTTGTTTTGATTGTCAACATGTTTTCAAACTCATTAAAGAAAACATATCCATTTGCCCATATTTAAATGGGGTTTGTGTCACTTTTTATGCTGTGGGGATTGTCAACATGTTTTCAAACTCATTAAAGAAAAGCATATCCATTTGCCCATATTTCGAAAATTTCAATACGCCATCCGTTCCAATTATATAGGTTGAGTTTTCTTTTTCTCTTGTCCCAAATATATAGATATGTTTCCTAATGTAAAATATTTTGTTGTTTTCCTTTATCAATATACCGTTATTAAATTTTCCCCATTTAATATGCCAACTTCTTGAAATCATCCAAATACACACATTTTTCACTTCTTAGAAATATGGAACAACTCTCATTCTTCTTCTTCTTCAAATTTTTTATTAATTCCAACAATAATTTAATTTTACATAATGAAAATTAAATAGGAGTAAATTAGAAAAGATTTTGACAAAAATTTATTTTTCAATGACATTAAAGAAGATTTCTTAATCCGTGTGAAAAACGAAACAAGCTTATATAATTGGAACGGAGGGAGTGTCAAACATAAAGGGCCTTCTTCGGATAAGTAAAAGATTATGCTTCTGCGCCGAAGTATCAAAAATGTATTGATCGGGAGGATATAAAAGCAACTAAACAAGACAATAATTATGTCTTGTTTAGTTGAATTGGGCTCACAGTTAGCTATATCAATCAGATGATGTCGAATTCAATAATTATCATCACACCAGAGACAGAACACATGGCTAATGCACATGATCAGAGAATGTGAGTAGCATCAACAAGCTCACCCTCAGCTATACATAATGGAATGAAGTCATCATCAATCCATTGGACATACATACTTAGGTCAACTTTCTTTCAAATTCCTGACAAAGAAAACCACCACAATTTTCTCAAGACAATCATACATAATTTCCTACTTGGACTCAAATGTTACTAAGCAAATATGCTCATTGGTCCTGCTCGGTTAGATGAATCCAGTCCACGTTCAGCAGTTGCCACACCAGTAATCAACTTCCTGAAACACAAAATCAATGTACTTTCAATTCAATGAGTTTCACACAAAATCAGAATCAGAATCAGGATAAACAAGCATAATTGACACTTTTTGCACCATCGATTGGAAGAGATTTACTTGATGCATATTCATAAAAATACATAGATTAGCATGGAAGAAGTGATGCATGGTAAGTTTACCTTTCAGCACTTTGACTACCAGGTCTCCCAAAAATTGTCAATCGTTTGGTTGTCTTCATGAACTCACTGCAGGACAAGAAAATAGGACAAACAATGTCAACAGAATGCCAATCAAGAAAATATTAATGCCTTTCCAATGTATATTTCCAGACGTTACAGAAAAAAATTGAATACAGGTTTACCTGAACGGTTCATCTCCAGCTTGTTTAACACCACCTGCTGCATCGCTATAGAATACATGACTCACAATCTCAGATTTTTCAATCCCAAACATGTGTTCTAACCTTTTGTAGAGCTCTTCATATGATCCAAGAACTGATAGATCAAGAGTCCGACCCACATCCTCAGACTCCAAGAATACTTTGCAGTGACCAGTATCCAGTCCAAGTTCTGCTACATGACAGCCTGGCTTCCACAAGAACTGCGCATTAGACAAACTTTTTGGAGTACCTTGCTGGTCAAAAACAGATTTTTCAGTCTTGAGTGGTCTCCCACCTGAGGAACCCCTTACCGATGACACTTTATGAACTGCATCACTGGAGCAGACAAGAGACATCTGCTGCTCAGTGAGTATTGGCTGACCAAAGAGTACAAACCGAGGCATTATTACATGGTCCGTTTTCTCTGACTTCTTACTAGAATTCCCCATGCTTAACAAGCAAGATATATTTTCATTACCATTCATACGGCTTCCATCAATATCACCAGATGTTTTAGCATGGGGATCAAGATGCAAGACACTAGGTGGTAACAATCCCAACTGTAGTTTGTTGCTAAGGTGGAGATCCGTTAATGGTACTCCGATTTGAACATGCCTGGCTCCCTGTATGCCTGCAGAGATAGTGTCAGATAGACAACTAAAGGGACTGCTTGGCCCAATGGGATTGCCTGAAAATGACGGCATAGGAAAGCGGCCGTCAATTGGAAAATCTGAATGATGCGGTAAACACAATTTTTTTCTTGGTGGTGAAAATGGTGACAGGTGAATAACAGGCATATTTGAGACCAATTCAACTAGCCATGGGCTAACGCACTTCACATTTTGCAGCAAATCTGGTTCATCCCACTTCACCTGTGAAGTGGCCACGGGGAAAGTTGTAAAAACAAATGGAAAGAAATAGTAATCTCCAAAATTGTACGATCTCAGAACTTTTGAGCAGCCGTGATGCAAATGTATTGTAAAGAATTACTTAAAATAGGGGTTGAAAGAATAATCATTTGATGCAGCATCCAAGATAAATTTTATTGGCATAAGACGGACGTGAATAATGCCGCACCAGTCATTTATCTCTCCACAAACAATCCGGCAACACAACAATTTATCAGGGAATTTAAAAAAAAAAATTCTCTGGCAGTCGGAGCCATAACAGAAAATGGAGTAAATATACTCGAGGCAAAAAAAGGAAATAAAGGGAATATTATGAACTCTAGAACATGGTTACGAGTCTTAGGTAGGTGGGATTCAAGCAAATGAAGGAATCAGTGAATCCAGTTGATATGATGATGCTTCTCTAAAAGGCTTAGATGAAGTTGTAATGTGGTTTGGAGACTGGAGAGGAAAATGATGGTGAAGAGAACTGAGGAGAGCCCAGCAAATATATAAACTCAAGGGTCATCCAGTTGTAGCTTTAAGAAAAGAATTGGCGTCATACCTCACTCGCCACTATCATCCTTGCATCCATTTACAACCAGGTGCATCAAAAATGTTTGACAAAGCAAGTTAACAATACAACAAATTAAAGGAATCAAGAAATTTAGGCAAGATGCAAACACAAAAATAAAAACAGAACTTCAGAATATATAGTTAAATCTCAGAAGGATATAACGATGTTTAATGAAATGAACTGAATTACCTGAAGAAGACGCCACAGTGAATTAGGCCAGTAAATCGGGTCAGCAACCTGAACAGAAGCTATAGTTCCCATAAACCAGCTAATACGAGAGGAATCCTCAGTTTCAAAAGCCATCTTGAACCTCATTCCAGGGCACCATTGGATCCTCATAGAAGCACTCACAGATGCTGCCTTCACACAAAACTCTGGTGTGCTTGCTCGTGGGTAATAAACTACCTCAAAAGGTTGACCACTGGCAGCAAGGAGTGTGGCATTGACAACCGATTCAGGCTTTACTCTCCCCCTTTCCCCTAGATTTCCATTATTACCATCTCTATGCATCAGCTTGTTTTGATCTTCCTTCAGAAAGGCTGAAAATCCCCCTAAATTTCCAGCACCACCAGAGTTCCACCCAGATGGGGTCTCATGCCCACCAAAGCCACCACTGCGCTTGGCTCTTCGAATTCCAATACAAAGATCCCCATTTTCTGCCCTCAAAAATACAACTGAATCCCCTGCAACCAGCTTCTTTTGATTCACAAAGGTACTCCAACCAGTGGTCAACAAATGCCTTCTCGGCGTTCCCCTGTAGATATGTCTAAACTTCCAAGTTTCTCCATGTACATCCTTGGCTATTACAGTCTGCAGAGGAGGATCGGCCATATAATCCAACCGCGGGAAAATTGTCTCCGCACAGTACCTTGGGACTGAGAACCCCCCACCATTGTTTGCATCAGATTGGGTCAGTGTCTTTGCAAAAGAAGTGGGCTTTTCATTCACTTCAGATCCATTATTCCCCAATCTTCCATCGTCTTCAAAACTGTGTTTATTGTTCTCAATTGGGATCAACCTAATTTTTGCGTACACCTCATCTGTTTCAGGGTCTGCCAAATATTTCACCGCGGCAACTCTACAGAGAAACAAAGGTGCGACTCTCGGCAGGTTAGTGAAATCCACATTAATGAGAGTATGCTCAGCGTGTCCTTGCGGGAAATAGAAGATTTTGGAGTTCATTGAAGGCATCTGAACCATGCCCCCAGCACAGGCGTGCCACAACTCCGAGTCCAAAGTAAAGTTTTCCACTGCCTCCTTCATTATTTTCTTCTTCTTTTCCTGTCCTCTTCAAGAGGAAAAAAATAAAAAAAGATCTCAGCTTCACTTTATCTTGCTTCTTTAGTAAATACTATTAAGAAAGTCAGAAATATCATCAAAAGGTAATAAAGTAAAATAGCCATGATTTGAGAAGATAAGACAAAGAGCACAACAATTAATATCAAAACTCAGTTAGGCACTAATATTCATACACAACAGCAGTAAAAAATAAGGATCTATAACCAAAGTTACCTTAAAAAGTTTCAAAATATGAACCTTTTTACACCTCAACCGCGCGAATGTATTCGACTAGGTTTGTGGTGCATGTAAGCAGAGGAAATCGGCGATGAAAATGCAAGATTGAACAACAATACTTGAAATGAAAAGAAAACCAGAGTAAATAAAACGACAACGTTCAGAAGGCTCCAATTCTCTCTCACCTGATTCCTGGTTTGTCTGCGACTCGTATGTTTATTCAGATCTGATCCAAATGGACAATGTGAGTTATTAACTAATAAAATGATTAATTAATTATTTAAGTAACAAATTGCCCTTTTAATTATTAAAATCTTGCACACGTTTTGATTTAAATATGATTTTAATGGATTCTAATAAAAAAAATCAACGCAAGCGTGTGGTTAAATACTTGAAAGAAGTTGTAGATCTCGTAACATGCGATTGAGAACGAATTTCAGAAAAAATAAGAACCAAACATGGACTTCATTTACAGTACTTTTCTTTGCTCTCGACTCATTTCTTATGTGGATCTGGAATTTCAATACATCTTTTTACGTCTCTGAATTAGCATTTGTTTGGATTTCATTTTTTTTCTTTCGCTAAAATTATAAGTTGATAAAAATGAATCGTATATAACATCGTAGATCCTACGAAATGAGTATATACAAATAATGTTTAATTGTAATAAGAAAAAATAAAGCAAAACAAAAGGCTTAGAGAGAGAGAAATATCAATATTATTACTATTTAACCACTAATAAATTAAGGGCCTGTTCGGTACAGCTTAAAATCCGATTAAAATTGAAAATATGGCCGTTATTGGGTCCCACTCGTCTAATAAAAGTCAACAATAAGGACTAATTTTTCAATTTTAATTCAATTTTAATCTCTACCGAATACGCCCTAATTTGAGAGAGAGAGAGAGACATATCAGAGATAAAAGAGGACAGAAGATTTATGCACAGTCTTTTTACTGACGGTAGCAGTCTGAGTAAAAAAATGTTAGTGGAAAAGACATATTTGACCCTAGTCCAAAGAACTATAATTTGATCAATTCTACCCTTCTGTTTTAAAATTACACAAACTTCTCATTAAATTTATGATAATTACAAAAACCTTCCCACTATTTTCAAATATTGCATAAAAACGTCATGATGTTTACTTTTGGTGACAGATTTCCAATGTGAATATTTATTTTTCATTTTAATCCTCCAAATTATTTTGAACTTGTTTTTTTCTTGCTTATTATTTATTAAAATATACATTTTTTTTTTCATACTTTTGATTTAGATAAGATCGCCTTAATTGAAAAATATTATTATGTAATTTAAAAATATAAAAAGTGATTTCTTTTACAAATATGATTGACAAATAAACAAGAAGTCAACATAAACAAATATTTAGAATAGCTTAATAAAAGTTAACTAAAAAATTATTAAATATTTTATAATGTTGGATTCATTAACATTTTCCTCCAATTTTTATATATTTATTCTTTTTACATAGGGGAATTAAAAGTTGCGAGCAACTTGCCTCACTAGTGACTCACGCAAAAAAAAAAAACTTGTGCGAGTCGCTCGCCAACTCGTAATTGATGAAATTCAATATTCGTGTGAGTTGGTGGGACAAGTTGAGTTCACATGTAGTGAATCGAGTCAGCTCGCATAATGGGCTGAGTCAAATCCAATGGTTGGCAAGTCGAGCGGTTCGACACGATCTATTTAACACCCCTATTATGACATTTATGCTATGGTAATGTTAGAAAATTGAATTAATATTATCATAACACTAAATATGCAAAAATTAACATCAAAAGTTTATAGCATATATTTCTTTTTAGTTCATTTTTGTAGCAAATATATTAGATCAATTTTAATTTCTTTGTTTTAAGTGAACAAACATCTCCACCAATATTGCTTTAATCCCAAATTTGAGCAATTCTTACTGCTAACAAATTTACAAGATGTTGAAATTTATCCTCATATTATGATGTTTCAACGGTCATCTTGTTATCGCAATTGAAGCCTGGAAATTGGTTCTTTGAAAAACCCTTCCAAGGCACCTAACAAATCTTAAGCAACCTAACATTTATTGGTTTATATACATCAATTAACTTCGCCACTCGAGCACAGTCCCATTTTGGGGTGACATGATATTCTTCGTCACCATGATGTAATTTTTATCGAGTGTCGAGAAAATCTTGAGGTTCGAATATCAAGAGAACGTGTTAAAAGAGAGAAGTAGATTAACATCAAAATCCAATCGTGGAAACAACGACCATGTGTCTTAGAATCGTCGGATTCGTGCAAAATTGTAATCCTATTTCGAGTGTAAAAAATCCAACCCCGCCCCCACCGCCAAAATAAAAAATAAAAAAAATCCACATTAATAATATTATGAGTCAAAGAAATTTTTTGAATTTTATCCAATGTGTTTGAATGTCTTTATTAACTATTCATACAGGGCAAACATATCACGAGTGCCTATTAATAGACCGCTAAAGTCAATTAATGTCGTGAAAGAATTGCTTAACCTTACATTCCACATAAATTATGATAAAATTCCATGTGCAAATGGACATTGAAAGAGACATATACTATAAAAGTAAGCCAATTATTTAATACTCTTTAAAGCACTAAAAGACTAACATATTGTAGGGGTGTGTGTACATATATAGATATAGAGAGATGGGTGGGGTGGGGTGGGGTGGGGTAGCCAGCTTTGGGGATTTCTTTATTTTATGGTTCTTCAAAATTTTCCCATTGATGGTGGATAGGTACTCTCAACATTGAATAATTGAAGACAATATCTAGAATATGAATGCACAACCATGGTTAATTAGATAGTAACACATATTGGTCTATTCTTTATATACCTAAAAAGTAATTGATTTTAAACAAATTAATGTCGAATAAATATGTTGGTAAGTAACGTACATGAGTACAAGATCATCTATAATTCATGTATAAAATTCGTAAAAGCTTATCGACGCCATCGACAATGCCAATAATTGATTTCTAACGCAATTGATTTCAATATTTTGAAGTAGTTATGAACATATGTGTGAAAATTTAAAATTAATTTAGAAGAAATTGCTATGAAATTCACAAAAAAAAAAAAAAATGATGTGTTCACACATGCTAAATGTTGTAGAGCAATGATTTGACATATTTCCCATCATTTATTAGTATTTGACAAAGAAAAATGCTGTTCAATTCATATGACAATTTGTAAGAGGCTGAATAAGATTTTTATTAAAGACTTTGTAGACTAATTGTTAACTAATATGGTTATATTCGTGCTTGCGTGCACGGTGCAACGCCTTAACATGAAGAGATCGATTATCAGTAAATAATATCGCAAGACACTCATAATCGTAATGATCTCAAAAAACGAATCTTAATCGGTGCTTACACATGGCAAGCTACATAAATGCCCCAAACAAACAAGGTATGCTGATAGTTTCTACAAGAAACATATGGTTCATAACATTGAACACAAAAACACTGAAAGTCTTGCATCACTAAAACCACGACAAAATTTGCGCCTCAAGACAAACTGTCGCATATGACAAGATATACTACTAATTCTTCAAATCGATCATTGTCTCTTCATTTAGACATATCAAGACATTTATTCCATGTAAAACAAGAAAACTATCTCATCATACTAAAACTTTTCTAAATTTTTATTGTTACCGATTAATAATTTGATCAATAGAGTCGATAGAACATCATTAATAATGCTCATAAAAATGCTTTGACTATAGTTTATGAATCTAATAAGATTGTCTTATTGAATAATCTAAATAGACTCGTCCAAATCAACTAATCTGAAGGATAACTCGACGAATTTGGCAATTGCTAACATGCAAGTAAGGATAATAGAAATAAAATAAAAACTAAAAGAATGAGGTCCAAAAGGCAAGACAAGACATGCGAAGTGTACTGTCCATCGGACAATAGTCATAGGACAAGCAACGTTCTCCTACTACTTGATGACACTCACGTCCACCCATCTTGTCTGTACATTGGACCACTTTTTGCATTGATGATAAAGGTTAATTTTATGAACCTGCTGCACTGCCAGGCCTGTAAAAGGTCAGTGCAAATGTGAAGGGGGGTGGGTGTTTAAACATTTGGGGGGATTTTTTTTAATGAGAGGACCCACCTCATGTGAGAGCTTTTGCTCTACCAGGCCTTTTACAGACCTGGTAGAGCAGGTTAATTCTAATTTTATTTACTGTCTTTGTACTTTGATTTGATTTTCAATTAAGTTATTATAGATGTGTTTTGACACCCATCTTGAAGAAAAAATAAATTTTGGAATAGTGATTAATGAAGGAATGTGTGGTTAAAAAGTAATGAGAATTTTTGGATGTGTAATATTATTTTATTGATAGAATGTGTGGTTGAAATGAAGAAAGAGAATGAAAATGAGAAGAAAATGAGTGTCAAACAGGGGCTATATTTCAATTTGTATCAATTAAAACGTTATGCCCCTGTTTGGTAGGTGATTAAAATCAGATATTTAACAGATTTTGATAAAAAAAAAAAAATGAAGTGTATGATTACAAAATTGTGCGACCCATAACATATGTTAAAATTAATTGTTGATTTTGACTTAAATTAAAATTTTAATTTTAATATCTACCAAACAATGATATTTTAAAACTTAGAGAATGAACATCAATTTTGTTGTCTATTCATTACACCAAACTTGAAAGCAAAAGATTATGAAATAAATTATGCATGAAAAATTAGGTAGAAAAACTTTAAAATAGAATTAAAGTAGATAAGTGGTAAGGAGCATTAAAAAAAAATCATATGGAAAAGGTGTAAAAATAAAAAAAATGGTAGAAGCAAGAATAAGTTGTTCAAATCAACCTCAATAATATCTTTAATTCATTAAACTTGAATCCTATTTGGGAAATTTGATTCATTCTGATTTAACGAATTCCAAAATAAAAGAGCTCGCTTTGACCCAAGATTTTCAATGTGTGAATCAAGGGGTCAAACTCTAAGATTTATCTAATTTTATCCATTACTAAAGAATTTTTCTTAGGGTCCATTTGATTGTAAGAGTGGAATTTGGGTGGAAAGAAAATGAATTTTAGGAATTGAATTGCTTAGAGTTGTTTTTTTGGGAATTATCAATTAATTGTGTTTGATTGATATAATATTTCACGTGAAAAATATTTAAATATTGGATCTTTTGATATTCGTTTGACTTTGTTTTTCATGAAAATTGTTAATCAAAGAGATTTTTTTTACAATTGGTGATAAAATTTGTGTCCATTGCGCAAAAAAAAAAAAAAAAAAAAAAAAAA